GGGAGGGGGCCGGGCTCCGCCGGCGGCCCCTAAGCAGGCCTGGGGTAGGCTGAGGTGCCGCTCAGAGTCTTTCGGCGAAGGGTGGAGCGGCTCTGGTGGGAAGGCGGACGCTGTTAGCTGGCGGGTGTGTATTAAATGCTGGGAAGAAACGCGAGGTTGCGGTGAGGGGAGCCGATGCAGCCCTCAGACGGGGCTTGTTGGCGTTACAAGGGAGGTTGAGGTTAGGTAACATTGCTTTTTATCACGCCGATCTTCTTCAGATCTTTCTAGCAAGCTGTCATCTCTCTGTGTAGATGGTGGGCAGTAGCACGTGCAGGTTTGCCCGTTTTAGGCAGCCTGTGGGTACTGCCGAAATGCACTGCACCTGTGTCTGCCTCCTCCCCTTCTCCTCCCCTCCGTGTGGGGAAGGTTTCACCTCCAGGTCTCCTCTCTTCTTCTAGATGGAGCCAGTGATAGAGTCTGTATTTTCTCTTCTCCAGGAGCCTGGGAGAAGTGATATGGCAGGATATACAGGTGAGGTGTAAAGTCCGCTGGTTAAATTGCGGAGGGAAGCTTGAGGTTCTACCAAGTGGTGCTGAGGACATGGTGTTCCTTTTCAGCTGGCTGCTCTGTCCTAGGTTGCCAGGATGGTGTGGCATGCTAGGCTCAGCAGGGTGGTCAGTGGTATTTTATGTTTCTTTCTGCTGCGGGTTTCTAGAAGCTATTTTAAAATAAGACAGTACAGTTCACTTGGAGTGAAGGAAAGCCAGCACACTTCTCTTTTTCAGGCTTTTTCATGGGTGAGGACAGTCTGAGGGGGTTGCACAGCTGGATAAGAAATGCATGACTCCCCAGTACTAGCTCTGGATGGGACTGGAGGGTTATTTGTTCCCATCTCACTGTTAGAGACCTGGGGTCTCTACATGGGCCTCTGGGAATAATTAGATGCTTGGCTGTAGAGCCTCTGTGAGAGGGAGTCTCCTTCATCCTTCTGGGAGAAAGCTACCTCTTGGATGTAATTCCTTGGAGTAAGATATGAATTCTCCTCTCTCAGTATGTGTTTCTGTTCTTTTATTGCTGGTATTGGTATCTTGGCAGTTGTGGCCATGTAAATAGAGAGCATTTTTGTCTCTTCAAGGGCATGTTAGTCAAGAATTTTATTCCTTGGTGTCATAGAGGTAGGACTGAATTTGCACTGCAAAGTTTTACCTTGAATGTAGAAAGCCTGTTTTTTTTTGTTAGTGGAATAATTAAACTTGATGTGTTAAATGGAAGTACATGTAGTGTGAGTAATGAGTATTTTAATGCTAAATCAGAGACGCTTATGCCCAAGTCTTCTATTTGAATTCATAGTAAACATCTTAAGATGCTTGCAAAAACAGAGCTTGGATAAGTATATGTCAGGTGATACTTCTAATTCTATTAATGCTGAACTGATCTAAAAATAAAATTTAGTCAGCAGAGTAAGATAACTGAAGTTTATTGTAGGGTGCATGATCATACATACTCATTTCTGAAATACATAGGTTGCATTCTTTAGGAAAGATAGGGCCATGTTTGAATGTTTCCTGTGAGCTTTCTTAGAATGTAATTTTATTTAGCTTATCATTACAAGAAAAGGAGGCGTCATGCTAGATCTAGATATGAAAGAGAGAGGTTTTTATTGATAAATAACTCATTGCCAATTAACTATTACTAACTCCTTTGACTTCTGATGCATAAATATACAGTATCCCTATAATTATTATAACTGTTTTTGTGATAATTATGGAAAAAAACCTGATGTGCTGACCTGTAAAAGAAGTAGTTTAAAAGTTTCAGTAAATATTAACCAACGCAAGTGAGAAACAACCTAAGCCTCCCCGTTGATTTTGCCTAATGAAGGGTAAGGGGACTTTCTTTCTGTTGAACCATCCCCACCCAAACGCACAGATTTAAAATAGAGTTTTAATACTACTTTAGCAGGCCCGAAGGCTTTTGAGCAAAGTCTGCAGGAACAAATAGCTGAAAGTAGATATTTGTGACATGTAAGACCTTTCAGCAGGTTCCTTTGCCTTCCTTCACTTTGGCAGTCATCTCTTTCTGTTACCTGAGGGGGAGGAAGAACAAGGAAATGGGGAGGGGAAGGAATAGAAGAGGTAGGTTTCCTACCTCTCTCTTCTTCCCTGTGCCACTTTGCCTTTTCCTTATTTTCTTGTCTCAATCTTCATAATTTTCCTTCCTCTTGGGAAAGGGGAATTTGGTGAAAGTTGATGCTAGGTCTAAGAAATTCAATTATTTTACAAGGAGCAGCTTCTCTCTCTTAGGGAAGGAGGATTGTGAGATTGCTTTCTTACTCTATCAGGAGACTGGATTTTGAATGACAATGAGGAAGAGGGAAGCATCCTGGGAGACCTGAAGCAAGACGTACTGCCTCAGCTACCTGAAGCCTACAGTCCCGACTGTGGGGCAGCCAGTAATAAACCCCCTCACCAAAAAAGAGGCTCCAGGAAACTCGCCCTTATGGCTGATGGTCAGAAAGAGCACACAGAAGAGAAACCCTACACATGCACAGAATGTGGGAAGGCCTTTAAGGGGACCTCCAGGATCCTGAACCACCTGCAAACCCACACAAGAGAGAAAATATTTGAGTGTGCAGAATGTGGGAAGAGCTTTAGCAGGAAAGCCAACCTAGTGGTGCACCAGAGAATCCATACGGGGGAGAGGCCTTACAAGTGCAAGGAGTGTGAGAAAACCTTTAGCCGTTCCTCAAACCTTATCGCTCACCGCAAAACCCATGTGAAAAAGAAAGCCTTTTCCTGCACTGTGTGCAGGAAAAGCTTTAGTGGAAGCGCAGCTCTCTTCCAGCATCAGAGAGTCCATACAGATGAGAAACCCTATAAGTGTACTGAGTGTGGAAATAGCTTCCGTCGGTGTTCAAACTTCATCAAACATCAACGGATTCATTTAAGAGAGAAACCCGGTGAACACACAGCAGGTAACTGAATTGAAATCTGTGGAGTTTTATTTCAAGTTGTACAGACTCACAGGGGATGTGTTGGATACTGTGGTCTCTATTTGTTCCTAAACACTTCCCCCTCCTTGCTGTGGGTATGAGTGGGGTTGGTTTGTTTGTTTTTCCTTTCCTATATGATGTATTTATCTCTATCATTTGAGGAAGTGCCTTGAAAATGACAAAGTTGAAATTTCGGCTTTGCCGTGAAAGCTGCCTGAGACCTTAGACTCTGCAAAGCTCTCAGATCCCATTAATTCCTGCTTCGTAGTGTTGCCTGATGTCTACCCCTAGATCTTCAGAAGTGCTTAGCCAACAAAATACTAAGCTTAGGGAAGTGGAAGGGATTTAGACTGTGAATCAGGGCCTTGGTAATCTTTAGCAGCTAATTTTTGTTATATGTCGATATTAAATGAGCAGCTTTTGTTGTCTGCAGTGGGAAGTGTCTGCTGGCCATCTCTCCATAATACTCTCCATAATACTCTGGCTGTAAGGCCAGTTGATTGTTTAAAGTAGGGAGTTTTCTGGATTTTGCAATATTCCATGGTCTTGTAATGACCAGAAACTCTGGGATAGTAACTGACATTGTGGGTTTTTTTTCTGTTGTTGTACCTTTACATGGGCAGTCCTTTTATACTTGGTGAAAAATGTTTTAATTTTTAATCTTGGGTCTTGCCTAGCCACCCATAGAATGGTTCTGGGTGCTGGAGTCTTGACCAACAGGTCATGTAAAAGCAGGGCAATTAAGACATGAAGCCACGTGGGAAGGTGTTTTGTGTGAGGTTTTTCTGTTTGTTTTTTTTTTATTTTGGTTTTCCTCATGAAAAAAATTTCTGATCAGGAGAGCCCTTTATCTTAACAATGGTAATAATAATGAAATTATAATGAATAATAATGAAGATATAATGAAGTGGCAAAACTGAATTCCTAAGTTAGGGTTTGAGACCTCAGTCCATATATACAGAGAGGTGGCCTAGTAACTCTACTAATGAGCCCTAAAGGTGGGACCTTACACTCCTAATGCTTCCTCCACCACCACCCCCTTGAGGTCTTTTAATAGTTTTTTTTAAATGTAAGAGTTTATAATTGATAAGAAAAGTCTCATTTTTACCCTGGCAATTGGCCAATAATTAATTATTTTTTTAAAATACTGCTTTTATGATCAAACATATGCCACATTGGCCTTGCAGCGTGTGATTTAGCAATGAAACCGGATTTCTGTATCTGATACGATTTCAAAGAAGAAGTTTACATATTCGCAACATAAGTACATTTTTTCTAAACCTCAGCTGTCCTATTCCTTAACAGCTCTCTTGCTCATCTCTGCTTCATCTCCCCTATGCCCTCCCACCCCCCAGCAAAGAAAAAAAAAAAAAAATGTGGGGGAAGTAAGAGGAAGGTATCTTGACTATGAAAAAACCCAAGTCTGTAATGTTTCATGGGGCTATATCTGCCTAGTCTTTGCTCTGGTTTGATTTAGTTTGGGCCAACATGTGACTTGAATTAAGTTTTACATGTAAAATACAGGTGAGAGGAAAAGTTGTTCCTGAGCTGCCTTTTCCTTGTGTGAAAGCATATTTAAAATGCTGACCTAGCAATCTGTGATAAAGTGGGCTCTTGGCTTACACTATCTTCCTTTTAGATGCAAACTATTCTGAATTTACATCTCTGCATAATAAAGAAGAGCAAAGGTGCGGTGCAGAGAAACGTGAGGGGGATCACTTGAATCTTGTTCTTGAAGAATGTAAGTATAAAAAAAGCTTCTAAATTGCCATGTGAAGAATTTTTACATAGCAAGCATTAACATTCTCCTCTTTTTGTACAGTGAAGAAAATGAGGGAAAACATGGATATGCTTCTTCTGAATCAGCAAAGTCAGTTGCAGGTCCTGCAAGAAATTCAGAAACAACTGAATATACTCCTCCCAGGCAATGATCTCATTAATTCAAACGTCTATAGTTTAGGACTTTTGCTAGGACGGCAGGCAGCTGCAGCGGCATCTCTTTCTTTTCCTCTTCTTAATCCCAGCAGTCTCCTCCCTGAAAATGCCAGTCTCTTATCTCGGTCGTCTGCTCCTGGGGTTCTGCCTAACACTCAGCTCCCAGTGTCTCAATATCCTGCAGCTTCTACAAATTGATCAGCTTTGTGTTGTGAATGTATCCGATGTAAACAAACGTGACTACTGTTTTGTACTGTTTTCTCACTCAAACATGTGATCTCTGTATTGTAATGTTCAAATTGTAGTATCTGTGAAGATGCTGACCATACACTCAGACTTGCAAAGATACATGCCTCAAGATGCATCAGCAGACAGCAGTTGATCAAATCCACTGCCCATTCATTCATTGCAGCATGCATATGTTTTGGCCAGCAATGTGTTTGGCCAAGGCAGCTCAAGAGATCTTCATCACTGGGGTGTAGTTAAGTGCAACACCCAAACAAAACTTAAGCATATTTTTCTACCTGATAGGTCTTGAATATATACTTGGGCAATTGGACCTCTCCTAATAAGCTGAAGCTAATGATAAAATCATCAGGGATGCTTTAAGCAACGCCTATTAAGTCTGATTCATATAGAGGTAAGCAACATGCTTATGTAAAGGTGTTCAATTTAACTGCATTTCTAGTCCCAGCATCCATTTGCAAAAGCTTCCTTCATTCAGGAAGGCTTTAAATTAGGTGACCTTAGCTGATTCTTAGGCCAGCATCACTACTAAAACTACAAAAAAATTTCTGCTTTTTGTTTAAAACAAACACTGTCGTACATGTCCCGCCC